TGAGGATATGGCCGGCACCAGAAAAAGCCTGAAAACAAGAAAATTATAATCTGAATAGATGTTGTCATCCAATGAGAAAAAACGAGCGATAACTTGTCGATACAACAGTATTACCTGGTGTCAATAATAGAAATTAATTACCAGCTAGTTCATAATTCAAGTGATGTAAACTATCCACCAGCTGATCATTAACTCAAAAACATAAAATAAACTCATCAATAAACGTCATGAACTATAAGCATATACAAAATTGCTTTTTAAGTGATCATCGAAATGCTTCAAATAATAGTGGATCCATCCTACGAGATTATAGGATACAACCGACTGACAGCTGCTTCTATATATGAAAACCTACTGAGAAAAAACTAAGAGCACACAAAGTCGAATGACTGGTAATCAGAGAGGCTAAACAATGAACCACAAAACTCTATATACTTCAAAATAAAAGGTCACTACATACCCAATGAACCTAGTTTACTAGAAGACTGAGTCAAATTTATACCCCTCAATTTAAAACTAAACTTTGTTTTGGCCTATACATTTGCTAGTGATGAATGGACAGAATACACATATCTAGAGAGTCCTTTTTTTAATTTTTAAGCTTGTTGTTTACATAACAGTATTTAACATTTTAATTAAAGATACTAATTATTGTGACACGAGATACACTTATTACTAAAATGAGCCTGAATATATCTGTCTGCACGAAACCTCAACACATGCTGTGACTAGATTACTTTAATACATTTATTTTCTTGTTCGTAAGTTTAGATTCTTTTGACAAATAATGATTGATGCCTTTGTAAACTACATAGATTTAAACTATAACTTTACAACGTATTTAGCCACTAAGTTAGTTCTTGTACCAGTCGGATTGCTCATTGAAACAAATATTCACAAATTCCCAACTTATGTTACTTATAATTATCTATCAGTTTACATGCACTGGAAGAAAACCAAAGAGTGTTATTGCCAACATCTCAGAGCTTTCCACAAAAACAGAAGGACATATCCTTATGAGTGAGATTACTCGCCATTCGACTGACAGTGGATGTGGTGGTGTCTCATAATTCTTTAGGATAGCCAGTAAAACAGACTTGGATTTTATTATGCCTTGTTGAAGTTGTTGTTACAAAAAAACTTAATCCAAATCTCGGCATCCAAACACACAGTTACCAGTATTATGTTGTCCTGATGATCTTATTTGAGTGAAACTTTACGTGATATTTCTTCCATGGCCCAAATCACAATTCCTTACTTCTCATCTACGCTGTACTCAGTCAATTTCCTTAAGTACTGCACAAACTATGACGTAAACTTCGATTTCTAAAAACTTTGTTTCTATGTTATTCTTAATGTCGTCTTTTGAATACTCATGTATTAACCCACAAATACACAAATCTTTGAACAATCATTCGGACATGAAGTATACATATTGTTTCTAGGCTGGAAACACGGAGAAAATCTATTAAATGAATGTTACGTCCTGATACAACCGTTCTCTTTAATTTATTGAAACAATTGGAGTTACTCATCAAGTATCTTCCTGATATTCTCAAAAGCATTCTGAAAAACAATTAGAGAATGGGAAACTTCTAAAACTGTATTATTTTACGCGTTTTCTGGATGACGTGAGGTTTGATGTTAAAATCATGGATAGAATGCTGATCGATAGATGAACGCGATGATATAATGTGGCTGAATGATGGCTACTCACGAGACCGTATAATTAAGTTCTCGAATGATTACAGATCAAGGACAAGACCATTAGCCGGATAAATGGTTCTCCATGTAATAAATAATACGATTATATTCGAAATATAGGCACAAAATAAACATGATAAAATGTCATAGGTGATTGAAGGAAATTAATTTGTAGGTCATTCGTTCTCCAGTCAATTAAGACTTGACTTTAAAGCCTACACTTTGAGTATCGTATCAAACTGACAGTCTTACGATCCAGGGAGCCGAATCTGTGTGCCCGAATACTACAGTTGATAAATAGTGATATAATCGAAGGAGCAGGACGATAAAAATGTCGTTTCATTGTAAATGAAAACTTCAGTCGAAATGTACATAAACTCACTTATAAAGACATAAATACAATATATCATAAGAGTCTAGAAACTCAATATACGTAAACGTCTTATCAAATAAAGCTGTTGAAATTTTTTTGTTATTATATTAAACACGCTTACATGAGGTATTAAGTGAAGAAAGGCATCACCAGCAAGTGACCCAACTGCAAGCGCTATAAGGAATTGAGTTACAACATTGTAAAAACTTCGGGACATTAGAGGTACCAAACATACAACAATAAGTCCTGAAAAGCTCACCAAAAGCACAGCACCGATTGCAGCTAGAAAGGCTAAAAAATAAAGTGATTAAAAATTAATGAGCCAAAGAACTCACGTAAATACGAAGTAAACAAATTCCCACATTTGCGATACAAAACATAAATGTGTATGATATGTTGAAAAATAAATCATTTTATAATCCTCATATGTCTACACATATTGAACTTGTAAGCAAGTTACTACACAAAAACGAATTCAATAAAAGCAGCATAACAGACCTGAGGGAAAACAAGAAACAACATTTTCTGTTCTTAAAAGTCCATTACTTTGGCCCAGGATTCAAAATACATACATAAACGGATAAGCATTCCTGAGTTTTAAGAGATTTAGAACGGATAACAGAAATTATCGACATATATTCTAAAATTTCGGTTAACGTATGATATGCCGCAAATATATCTGAAATCGCTGAAAAACCCGACAATCAGAACGAGAGGGAATCATCGTATTGAAGTCGAAGGTACGTAATATGAGGTCTAACGGGAAGCTAAGTATGAGAAATATAGTCGAAACAGAAGAGGGATTCCAGATATAAGAGCACGAAATAATGCCAAACTCAAGATGAAGAGAAAGACATAATGAATGCAATTATATTTATTTGAACACATAAATATTGGTACAAATGGGCACCGAATACTTATGAGCCACACAAGTCACTTGATTTGTGTGTGGGCTGTTATACTACCCGGGTTCCCAGGCCGAAGCGATTGGTTTTCTTAGGGGGTCACGTCCGGAGTCTTTGACGTAAAGGTTCAACGCACAAGGCAGTGGAGCAACGTCAGGAGATGCAGTTCCATGTTAGCCGGTGGTTAATAATTGGTTCGTACATTTTTTCAATTTCACGGCACAATATCAAAACAACTGTTATCATCTGTATAAATTTCAATTTATAAATACTAATTTCGTGACTGAAGAGACGAATTCATGAGAAATATACCAAAACGAGGAAAAGAGAACGTGGAAAGGACAAGGATTTAAAATTGTGGTACAAATTTATTTTGAATTAATGTCGACTTACCTTTCCAACTGAACTCGTGCGTTGAAGGAACTACTTCGTGTACATGATTGTGCTTACAAACTCCAGTTTTTAACTCATAAACGATAGTCGGCAACAAAGCATGAAAATCCGTTTGGTTTAGATGTGAGTGATTGGGAGAAAATAAATCGAACATTTCACTTGCCGTGAAACACTAAATAGTACAGATGTAAAGGTAACATGTTACTAACAGTAGGTAAGAACTACTAAACAACTTGTAAAATTGAAAAAATCGAGGCACATCTTAGTTCCGCTGAAAATTAAGTTTATAGAAGCAGAGAACAGTTTGGCATTCAGTAAGCCATAAGATCATATCCTACAGCCTAGCTAGATTCACATTATCTAGAGTACAATAAAGCTTATTTAAACAGGGCTTAGTGATTGAGAAAAATTAACACACCACTGGATGACAAATCGTATATCATTAAACCTGAAATAAATAAGGAAAACCATAAACGTTCTGACCACATGTATATATTCAAATCAGGAAACCAAGATAGCGAGACCTAGCTATACTCAGAAAGACCTATCATATCCTGGTAGACTAGGTTTGACAGTGCAAACCTTCTGGCTTTTATTCGAGACTGAAAATGGATTTTAAAATCTATGGATGTTACGATACATACAGTAAGCGATGGATAAGAAATCTATTGGAATGAAAGTGGTCCGAAAACGAAGATAACCTTTCCACTGTTAGTCTCTATAGCAGTAAACAAT